AATGGGAGCCTTGGGAAACTGCCGGTGCATTATGGTACATTGCTATACATTGCTAAGGTGACAACTTGCTGACGCTGGGATTTGATGATGGCTTGGACCTGATAGAACCTGTCTGACTTGGGGGGTCACTGGCCCCCAAAATCTTAACCTAGTACCCAAGTGCCCTAACCTCACTTAAACTGTTCAAAATATGCAAGGTTTCAGTGAATCTGCATGAGAGGCCCCCCTTGTCTGGCAGAACGTCAGGCAGAAAGTAGGTTTCACTGAGGGTTCCTGAAATTTCAGAGATGGATTGGGGGAACAGCGTTGAGGAGACTAGTTTGCACAGGTATCAACCATGGACGTCTTGGATAAAATGATAAAGTCATGCATCTCACACATTCTGAGTTTCAGATCATTTCAGCAAAGACTCCCCATTGTGTAGATCAGTCCGAGCACTCGAGTAGTCCTTTGAGTATTTTCGCTGGCGGCTGGCACCAGCTAGCAGCAGCTAGCATGCTGGAGAACTGCAGCTCATGGCCCATGTGTTGCTGTGGTCGGAGCAGTTGCAGGCATTCCCCGTCAAGCCTCATTGGACGGCTTTGCCCCAAATGGCCAAAAGATGTCCCCAAAAAGTGCCGCGTGCAAGGTGCTGCATTTCGTGCAGCAGTGTTTGTCGGGGACAAAGGTGTGAAACCGTGTAGAACTAGATCAACTGTGATCGACTGGCGCATTTGGCGTGGTCAGCATTGTCCTTGCTTCTCGACCGGGTGCCCGGGCTGTGTCGTCAAGGCTCAAATTATCTCAAATTCATATTTGCAAGATGTTAAAGGGATTCGACTGCGTCACAAGAAGCCTCTCATTTCTTGCCACATTCTTTTGACTTCTCCTCCAACATGTTGATTCACACTTGATTTTGCGTAACATGCACCAAACAGTACCGTTATCATATTTTTCATATTATATATTTATATATAACTATCACAAATAGTTGTACCATCCTCGCCCATCTATACCATTCTAAGATATTCTAAGTAGCATTCCATGCATCCAATCACCCTTTGATACCTGGCCACTTTGATTCTCTGCAATTGCCAGCTGTGATCCCATCACCGTTAGGGCGGCCAGGCTCTGCGGCGGCCTAGGCATGCAGCAATGGCTAGCTCCGAGGGAGAGGCCGAGATCCGAGAGGCCTACGCCCTTGGCTCAGAACATGGGCGATTTACATAATAAGATGATTTAAGATGATTTAACCCTCCAATCCATTTCGCCAATGTTCAAGATTGGGCCGGGGCAAATGGGGGCAATTGCTGAGGATGATGACTTCGAGGATGAGGCCTGCTGTAGTGATGGAACACAAAGTGTGCTTGGGCCAGTAGTGCTCAGTGCATCCATTCCCATTGCGTCCGTACAAAATCCTGCACCAGTTGATGGATAGTTCATCCCAACCTGAATAAATGTCATAATGGGGAGGGGTCAATAACCAGCGGATCGAAAACGAATCCCATGATACAAGTGACTAACTGGTGCAGGATTTTGTCTATCCACCTCCGCAGTATATAGTGCCAGATTTTGATTAATCAAGTTTTTTCCTCAGGATGCTTCTGACGAAGACCTGGCAGCCCAGGCGTGATGGCTTTGTGGGCTCGTGCATGAGTTCTGACACTGATTCCACATCCATCAATGCTGGGCTTCAAGTGCTGGTAATGTACGAAATCGGATAGCATGTGATAGATATGATAGAAGGATATAGAATATATCAATATATCTATGAATGTATCATTTGTCAATTAAATTTGTGATGCATGGCACCTGTAGGCGCGCAACGTAGCGTGCAGGCCTCACATTTCCTTGGGAGAAAGTCTTTTGTTTGTCTCCAGCTCGTTCTTAAATGTTCTTAGCATCCAGTAGCCATATAATTACGTTTGTTGTGTTTCTTGTGGATGCTTGGGTCACCCTGTAAAAAAAAAGAATACCATGCACCCGCGTCCTTCATTTACAATAAGGATGCGTCAGAATGGGATAGAATCGGAATGGGGCCTTTTATATACATCCTTCCATAGTAACATAGATCAGGTTGAACCACCCAGCCCTGACTAAGCCAAACCCAAGTAAAATGTCCGTGCTCAAGGGAAGTTCCTGAATTCTCCTGAGGCCTACTTCACCAGTCTCACCTGAGAGGCCTCCAAGGCTTTGCTGCTTTGGTGCGTTGTGTTCAACCACTAATACGTGTTTTCTAGTGGTTTGGCAGACTACCAGGGACTACCATAGATCTGTCGATGATTTTGGATGATTTTGAATGATCTTTGAACGATCTTTGACGATTTGGGAGGATTTTGGATGATCTTTAATCTGGGTAATCTTGGTATATACATTATATACTGTATTGTCATTATTTTTCCATGATTCTTCGAAGACTGGAAGATACAACTGTGCTGGCCATGGAATATGCGGGCTGTCCTGGTCAGGCCTCCCGAGGGGGCAGAAGCGGTGGTCTCAGAGTCAGCACCAGCGCAGTCATATCCAGTCGATTGCCTCACATTCTGCATATCTGCATGAAACCAGAACCACAGGGGACTGCAGTGCTACAATTGTATGCAATGGTGCTACTCGGTGCTACTATTGTTAGCATTCGTGTTCAATTTTCTTTGGACACGGCAGCTGCTGCCTCGCTTATGGCCACGTGGAAGTCCTGCGAGGCGCAAGCAACACCAAAAGCTGCGGGCAGACTGAGCGCCAGAGTCAAAGGATAACTGTGTGTGACAGACTGCAAACCTGAACTGCATTTCTTTTCTTGGGTAAGTACAGGTTGTAGCGCACAAAATGCACAAGTGGAGATAGTGAAGGCTGTACAGACAGATCCGTACGATTCCATTCAGATCCTTTTGCAGCTGCTTTTCTAAAAAAGATTTCAATGAATTTAAATGTCCAAAGAATGTCCAAAGAAGCTTCTTTGCTTCTTTGCCTGCTGAGGTCGAGCACAGAAGTCAGCCATTTGCAGAGAAGGCCCGAGAGATCCCAGCAAGATTTTGTCGAATTCTTTTCCAGCCACCCTGACGCTAGCAAGGAGCCATCAATGTCTGTCATTTCCATGTCGCAGTTATTTTGGTTCATGTGTGCCATTTGAATAAAAGCATTGTAATGCAGTCTTTGAGCCGATTGGCTTCTACTGGTATCATTTCATATCATTTCTATCCATGCCAGCTTGCAGTTTGAACATCCTGGAAGTGTGTTGTTGTCTTTGGAAGAGCCAAGTGGGCCATTCCTTACGGGACAATCTTGCGAGGATTCCCACTTGGCACGCTCGGGCCTCTTGGCTTGGAGATGAGATATAAGAGTCACATGGTGTTTCCCACCATAGAACTTCAATTAATATTATGATTGTAGCAGACATGATATGACATCACAGCATTGTTGACATGCGATATCAACTCGATCTCATGCACGTGGCCTGCGGGGAAATCACATGCGCAATGCCATTGCAAGAGTTTCACTTCTGAGTCAGTATAAGTGTTAATAAAAGAAGACGCATTGGTCTAAAGTCCTCACAGTTTGCAGCCATCCGACGCCAATGTTGGCAGGGTATTGGCAGGGTAGGGTACTATACTGTAACCACTATATGCCACTATAGTCCCTTGGCATCCCTTTGCCAGGTTCCGGAGCAGGAGAGAGCTTGACCCGCTTGGAGACCAGCCTTCAATAGTCTTGCATTTCAGTCCCACAGCTGGCCAAGAGGCGTATCGGGCAAGTCAGGGTCTATGCAGCATCTTGCCGCGTTATGTATCATGTTATGTTGATCAAGTTGCAACGATACCATTACAATCATTATATTTTATATCATTTTATATATTTTGATAAATTTTATCTATTGATGAGACGTGGTGGCTGCCAAGGACATCCAACTGGAGAACGGCAGGACGACATTATGGATACACAAAAGCTTTCTTTTGAGCGTTGCAGCATGAGCGGTGCCCATCCTGTTACTGTTACGCCTTGAGGACATTTGCCAGTGCTCCTTCCTCTGGAAGACGAGTTGTGTGTGGTTCTTACGTCTTCAGAACATATCAAACATGCGAATTGCTGGATTTTTAAATAGATCAATGACAAAAAGAACACACACATAATACTAACAAAATGATAATGATCATGATGATGATCATTATCATTGTTATTATTATCATTGTTATTACTAACCATTGTTATTATTATTATGATTATTATTGTTATTACTTTACTTACTATTACTAAAAATTATTACTACAGTATAAAAATTAAATTATTATTATAGTACTTGTAGCCGGTCGGCTTCAGGCCCACCTTCAAAACTCACTGAGGCGTGGCAAGATCTGCGTGGGTGATGAACGACCCGGAACCGGAGACAGCTCGAGCCCACAGGCGAGGCATGGCAAGGGGCCAAGGGGATCCAAGGGGCCCAAGAGCCGAAATCCCGTTGTACTCTGTTCGTGAGGTGACGTCCCCACCTGTGAAGGATTCCCGTCCACTGTGGCTGGGATGCTCGGCAAGACTTCGCAGAACCTGGCAACATCGGCCACAACTGCCACAGCCTGCCCTTCACACTGTCAACACTCCCAGGCTGCAGCACGACGAGAAGTCCCGTGTGAAAGATGCAGGAGACTCGGAGACTGAACAAATCTAAGACAATGGCAAAGATAACTCAGAAACTCGCTGATGGCGCACAAGTACGCAAAAGTGAGGTCCAGCTGCCAAGTTCCCGGCCAGGTCCTTGGTGAATGAAACAATATGACGCGAAATGATGTGAAGCTTTCAACACTGGGGCCAGAATTTGGAAGAGCTGAGGCCACCTCCAGACATCCAAGAGACTCACCAGTCCGGTCGTCGGGCAAAGTGCTTAGGAAATTTCTGCTGTGCAATGATTCTTTTTGTATCTGCCAGATGCAGCTGTGACAAAGACCTTGGCCACAAAAGCAGTTCTGGCTCCAAACAATGCCTATGTGACAGCGGCTGCAGATAGACCGGCCATCGCTGGGAGCTTGGGCGCCATGGATCCGCAAGTGGTGTTGGATCTTTTGGTCGCCATGGATGATAACGCCCTATACTTCATCCTGGGGGAGCTGTTGCAATCCAAGCCCAACCTGGCACCTGACCTGATCAGCTCTGCAGTGCCGGATCTCACCTATGCACCATCAAAGGCTGTGACCGAAAAGCGATGTACTGGTGTTCTTCAAAGCGTCAGAGCTGAGGGCATGAGTTTCATCCTTTGTCCACAGCTTCAGGCTGCCTTCGGCTGCGATGTTTGTGTTGCCCCCGCCCAAGTTGCTGGCTTCGTACAGGGCGAACAAGTCAGCTTTGCAGTGACGGGGAATGAGAAATCTGAACCCCAAGCAATAGATTTACAGAGCCTTTCGTCAAAGGATGCTGGCAACCCTGCAAGAAAGAGGAACAAAGTTACCCCAGCTTCAACAACAGTTTCCAACAAGAGACCATTTTCCATGGCCACTGGATTACCAGTTGCTACAGAGCAGCTCGAACGGCCTCCGGATTTAATGTCTAAGCTGCCCAGCCAAAGCATGTCGTTGCAAAGCCTTCCAGCAAAAGGAGTGGCTGCCATTGCTGCGATCTCTGCGGCCGCTGCCAACAATCCCAAGGCGGCAGTGCACCAAGCCTTTCCGAAGCAAGCCATGACCGGGGTCACGCGGGTCATGCAGAGTGATGGATGGCAGGTAGCTAAATCCGAGACAGATCCAGCTGAGGTTCGCGAGATTCTTGGTGAATACTATGGAGTTATTAGGAATTTTGATCCCTTCAAAGGCTTTGGCTTCATTTTCTGCAAGGAGCTGTACGATGCTTTTAATGTCGATGTCTACGTGCATGGCGACAGTTGTGCGGAGTTTGGAACAGGCGCTGAGGTGAAGTTTGAAGCTTACATGTACAATGGAAAGGTGCAGGGCCGCAATTTGGAAGATGCAACTGGAAAGGTGCAGGAACCAGCACCAGCTCCGCCAAATGAAATAGGAACCTTTGTGGGTGAAGTGAAGGTATTTCACTGGGACAGGGGGTATGGCTTCATTGGCTGCGATGCACTGCGTGCGAAAGGGTACAACTGTGATCCCTTTGTGCATCACACCGAGATAAAGGACTTCTGGCCGGGTCAGTTGGTCGCCTTCAAGGCATATGAGAATGCCGGCAAGCTGCTGGCACGCGATCTCAAGGAGCGGGGTAGAAAATCTGTAGAAAATCAAAGAAAATCATTACCCACAGCACTGAGTGTTTAGATCAAGAGAAAAGGATTCAGAAAGACCCAGCAGGAAGCCTCCGAAAATCACACGCTCCAAACAATTTTGTGTATTATCAGATTGTAATACCACGAAACCTTTAAAATTGCCCAAGATTTCAAGGAATTTCCTTGTTTAACCAGAATTGGACCTTGGACCTCTTTTGGAGGGTTTTAGATTCTAGATTGGTTTTAGCTGGTTTGGATGTTCACCTAGCATTGGCTAAAAGGGTTGAAAGGCTGAAAGGGCTGCCTGTTGAGGACCCTGCTGGAGTAATGCTTTCGTCTGGTATCCAAGCTCCAACTTGGGACGAGGCTTGGGCTGCTGCAGTGGAACTGGCCACTTCGTGGGCAAGGGATGAGGCCAAAGGAACGACTCCAGACCAACGCGAGCTGGTGATGGATCACATGCAGATGATGCAGAGTCTCCCGCCTCCAAAGCCCAAGAAAGCTCCTTGGAGGATTGAATGTCAATAAATTGTGATCAGATCGATTATAACAGCAGTGCGGCTTCCATCTGCGTTCTTAGTCATTCCTAGTCCAAGTAGAAAGGTCTTTCAAGAGTGTGTCAATGTGTTGGCTAAGGTGCGCCTCTACTAGATTGAGTCAAAGGCCTGATTGCTCTAATCTGCTCTCCACAGCCGATTCTGCCGAAGAGCCTCTCACGTCTTGACATCCAGAACTTTGTGCCGAACGCTGCCAAGAAGTGCTCATGGCCAGTCTGCCGTGGGTGGCAAACTGGGCTGAGCTGGACAACAACCCCTGGATCAAGCAATTGATCAAGATAGATTGGAAAAAAAACCATGCTTTTCTGATCTTTTCTGCATGTGCCCTTCGAAACCTGACAAACAACCATGCTGGTCCGGTCATTGAAAGAAGCTGTGGAGTGGTGGTCCCACCGTGGTACCCAGGCCAGACCTAGTGTGGATGCTGCCGATGGGTAACAGTCTCAGCATACCGCTGTCGACCTTCGGCCACTGCTTTGATATCTTTGATCGGTTGAGGACAACGGGAAGCGATGATCCACGAAAGCTCAAGAGATTGCAACAGGCCGGGACATGATGGTGATATTATATGATATTATATAATTATACAATTATATATATATATATGATATTATGTGATATTTGCTGCTTGGGCCCATCTCTCTAAGGCCCCAAAAGTAAGTCTTTCCCCAAAGTATCCAAAGTCGCAAAACTCCATCGCCAAATCTGTTGAACATATCAGAAGTGTTCCGTGTCATGAATATATAAGGAGAATTTCCGAGATCTACTCTGTTGAAGGAGATTCAAAGGCTGTCACAACGCCTTGCTGAGTCGGAGATGTACTCGGTCAGAAGCTGGGAATGGATTTTGCAGTGCCCAACCAATGCAGATGTCATTGCACACGTTCATATAATATCAATTAATATATATTAATATCATATAATATAAATTCATATAATAGAATAGTAACATTCCACATTGCACACTATATATATAGAGAGAGAGACACACACACATATATATATATATTATGGATATTTATATCTATATGCCCAACCAACCTGTTGAAGCTGACATGAAGCATTGCAGCATTGATCGATTGTCGAGGCACATGATGATGGTTTGCCAAAGTTTTCGCTGGAAGAGGCACTGATGCTTCCCAAGCCTGCCTGGATGGTACTGGACGGTGTGTGCATGTTCTACGAGACACAAAAAGGGAGGAACCCAACTTAAACAAGGCAACAGGGTTTTGCAAACTGCTGTTGCCGAATTGCACGAATGAAATGCGCCAAATGCATTGAAACCGTGGTTTGAGCAGGTGGAAGTGGGCAGCATGATTGCTCAAGGAGGCTTTGCTTCGGTGTCATGCTCCCAGTGAAGACCGTTGAATTTCGACAAAGCTCTTCGGTTGTAGACATTTGTAGTCCTATTATGTCCTATTAGTCATTGTTTTTCTCAGAGGATGCTGGTGTGCACCACGTGAAAAGGGACGGTGTTTGAGGCATTATGCTACTTGGCAGTGTACGCCCTGTGCCCTGAAGAAGATTTTCGACCCCGTTCTGACAGTTCCTGGGCTAAATGAGCATATATATATGAGCATACTTGTATGACAGAAGTGCTGAGTCTCTGACATATTTAGCATTATGTAGCCAAACTTGCCTGAGGAAGAATTGAAGTCCGAGTTTGAGAATGAGGTGGAGCCATTTGCACTGACTCTGATTGTTCCATGATGGCTTCTAATTCCGAGCTCAGTTTTGGGACAGGTACGGATGCTGCGTAAGCTGCGACATCCGAATGTGCCTCGACAGAACAAGACAACACAGTAGGTTGAAAAGCTCAAGAAGATTAAAGAGATCGATAAGATTCCCATCGGCTAGGACATGGGATCCCATGGGTTTGAAACTTCCTACACCAAATTGTTGGCACCAGAGGCCATGAGATTAGATTCATTAGATGAGACTGCATCAGATTGCCAGGTAGTTACGCTCATGGCCGTGTGCCGAATGCCTCCGGCACTGAGCATCCTCACTGAACTTGCAGGGGTCTTGAACCAATTCCACAGCCTGCAATCGCCACGAGGAAGTTGGAATCCATTGAAGGCATCAAATGGATTCAAATGAAGTAAAATTAATGATTAAAATACCTGTCAATTCAATGTCAATTCTGATTCTTGGTTCTCTGGATGCAGCTGATGTTGCCAATTCGATGAGGTTTGCGGTGGCTCCCTGTTCGAACTTCTTCATGGTCCCACTTCGTCTGAAACCTCAGCTATAATTTGAGATAATTTGAGTGTTGAATGACTGACTCGGGACATCTCGGGACTGGGTCATCCGGGATCAGAGTCTCACAGAAGTCTTGAGGTCCCGGCGGCGCGATTCTCCAGGTACCGAGCCTACCATGCTGTGGGCAGCTCAGGCCAAGGCTGTTCAGCTTGGAACATCGATCATCAGAAAGCAAGGCTGCCACTGCTGCGTCAGGCTGCGGGGGAATATGTTATAACTTATGAATACATATGGATACTTATATATAAGTTATAAGTTATAAGTATAGTTATAAAATTAGAAGTTACAACTTATAGATAAGATTTTTGTTGCTGTGCTGTGATGCGGTGGGTTAAGTTGGTGAGGTTGTGCTGAACAGGGCTTGATTGAACAAACATGGGGGGTCTTCATTGCTAGGGCTAACCGTATCTAGCCACAGCTTTGTGTTCTCAGATGTTTTTGGCGAATTCTTGCTCTTCAACGTAGTCCACTCACTATATAGAGCAACAAAAATGTTAAAAACATATTGAATATGAACATCTGAGAAGGAGGGTTTCTGCGAAAGCCGCCTCCAGGCTGGCGCCGCCCTCGCATATTTGCATGCTATGATGGTTCCCTGGCTGCCACGTGCTGCAGTTGATTTTCTCCAAGATCCGTGCGGCTGCTGAGGTGGTTCATCGAGACATCAAGCCCACTTCTCAAGCATGAAATTGGATATTGTTGACTATTGTTGCCTAGTGCCAGGAATCTTTTAGGAATGAGCCCCAAGAGACAGATCCCAAGAGCATCCAAGAGCCATTACCTTTTCCATCCTGTTCTATCCTTTTCTTATTATATAAGCCTATTAGCACTTTTCCAGAACTCAAGTTCTAAATTTCTGAAGCCAGATACTGTACTCATTTTTTCAGAGGTCACAGAATGTTCTGCTGACAGAAGGCAGCAGGCGAGCCACAGCACATATTGCGAGCAAACATGTATAGAATTGGATGGATACTGATGGATTTACAATGATTAGATGGATTTCCACGCCACATGGTGGAGCTCGGATGGGTAAGTATATGGGTAAGCATCTATGGAATCTGAAAGACATGGCACACATGGCACACATGGCACACATGGCATGACCTCCTTGGGATTTCTTGGGCACCTTGATTTGCAATTTGCAGGCCTGCAGCGAAGCTCTGTGACTTTGGACTTGCGCGGATGCGCTCTGAGTTGTGCTTCAGCCTCGGCAATGCAACGACGAGTTTGGTGTTTTCCTACCAGTGCGGTGAGAGTTCCCGAGTTCCCAAGTCGGTGTTTTTTTTTCCCAGCAAAACTTGATAAGCCACTTCCAACCGCAAGCTTCAAGCCATTGCGCAAAAATGCTTGGCATGAAATCCCAGGTACTGGGTCCATGCAGTGGGCAGGCACTGCCCCCTACATGGCCACAGCCTCAATTCAATGTTTGCAACCGCGCTGGGCCGTGATGCCTCGACATGCCTTGTGCGATTAAGAAAGGCACCTGAGCTCTTTGCAAAACGGAAGTATGACGAGACCGCCACAAGCTGAGACCATCACAAGGTGTTTTGGATTTGGCAATTGTGTACGATCCTTTGTTTTAGTTTCCTGCTCTACCGCTTGGAGTGCTGCTTTGAGATACACAAGCTATTCCAATCATTCCACCTTATTACACACAAAACGCCCTGTGGCAGGTCTAGGCGTAACTTTCGCTTGACATATCGGTGCCACATGGTGCCACCTGGATCCGAAAGATTTCTTGAATATGCTTGAAGACCTATATACTTAGAACAATCACAAGAAGGGTAAGTAGGGACGGAGATGGTAGAATACAAAACAAACCTGACCAAGTATTGCAACGTTCCGTGTCCTTGTGGCAGCTTAGTGACACAACGGTAAGAATATTTATGATGAAAAAGCTATTTAGTGAAGAGGAGAGCGGACCCACTTAGAGCAGAAAAAACTTAAGTCGATCTTACTGCTTTCATTAGTTTGGCTGGTGGCAGTGGCAAGGTTGACGTTTTTGCCTTTGGTACCATGGTGTGGGAGGCCTTTGGTGAGGAGACCTTGCAGTTAATGATGTTAATACAATTTCAAAGTGCCGGCCAGGCCGGCCCACAAGTAAGTAAGTCTCTTTGTGCGTTTGTTGCCTTCCTTGAGTTGGAAGTGTCACCCTGCAATCGGATGCAATTGATACATATTGGTACAGGTGGTGTCCGTGGAAATTCCGCATGCCAACTTGGACCCAGCAGACATTGCCCACCGTGTTCAGACCAAGGCGGGGCTGTGCTAAGCCATCCGCATCACCGGTTCCCGGTTCCCTTGGGTTCCCGGGTTGACCATGGCAGGAGGCCGCAGGCCTGGCTTTGCAGCACAGCTGGCCAAAGACCCTGAAGAACCTTTGCCGCACAGCGGGCCATGTCTTGTCATCATTCTTTGTCAATTGGATTACAACATTATACAATATTATACAACCAATATCAAATAATATCGTATCAATAAATATAAGCTATACTCAGAATTGGTATGATTTCATGTTGATTTCCATGGCCCTTCACTCCGGCTCTGCCACAGTCCTGTCTACAAAAATCAGAGAATAGTTCTGGTTGTTGGCTGCGTTCTTGCCCGTTCGTGTTTGCACAGTGTTCATGGACATTATTGACCCATCTATATCAGCGACCCCAAGCAATTCGCCAAGAAGCGCCATGCTAAGGAACTTGCTGAAAACAGCATTGTCAGTGCCCTTTTTCTGTCCACCTTTATCTTCTTGGCTGCAGAGTCTCCATACGTTTCCATGACTTCGAGCCAAGTGAAGAGTGGGCTGCAGGTACAGCAGGAAAAACGGCCTGCGATGACATCAGTTGTGAAGGATCTTGAGGGAATCACTCGCGCTACTTGGTTGATTCGACTCCTTCGACTCATTCGACTTCCTCTTTTTAAAATCACTTTGGAAACATGGTCCAGTTACATCCAGTTACTGCCGGGAAGGTGTGCACCTGTCACAAGTCATACAAGTCATAAATTGCCGATATCGTGGGTTACTTATGGTTACTTGATTCAGCAGTGATTCAGCAGATTCATGCAATGCTCATGGAGCAATGAACAGCATCACTGACTCGGTCAGCTTGAACTGTTGTGGGAACTGAGGATTTCATGGAAGCCTGAGCTGGTAAGGAAGCGCTGTGTGGAGTTGCGTGCTTACATGCGCTTACGATCTCTATTTCACTTATTATCAATTATAATCAATTATATATTCAAATGTATTCAATACAATTCAGCCCATTGTGCATCTGACATCATCTGACAACCCATGACAACCCCATGCAAGCGCTCGCTGGCCAGCTGGTTTTGAAGCTAATGACATGGGCCAGTCGAAGATGATGGGCCCCAATGCTAGACAAGACAAGAGCACCGTCTCACAAGGGCTATGCGATTTCAATGCTAGATCGTGCCTAGAGAAGAAAATTGCGGCTTTCGCTGCTATAGTCTTTGGTGTTTGAATATGCGTGAATAGTACTCAGCTCAGCTTTTTGGAGCTTAGATTTACTGATGTCCGCAGCCAGTAGACCTCTCAAGCTTTGTCCCTGATCGCACGCGGTGCAGTCTTCGATTTGTGTCATTTGGATATTTTGGATTCATTTGGCCAATGGCAGATGTGCGTGGCAGCGGTGGAATCATGCTGAGCCAGGCCGAGCAAGGTATGAAGCTCTTCAAAGCAGCTGAGGTCGGGAAAGTTGGGGGAAGCCTGAGCCTTTGGGATCAAAGGTGTCAGCATGTGTCAGCACCTCCATCAGATGTCATCACCATGTGGAATTGACGTGAATTGACTACTAAGTTACTAGGAGGATCTAGGAGGATTTAGGAGGCTGAGATAGTGAATGCCAGGGAATGACCAGATCTACCATTTTACCGGTCGACTGCAACTTGTTTTTTGAGCCATGGCCACGGAATTACCTGAAAATGTGGCAGATGTTACTTGCACCCAAGCCTTCAGATTGAAAACAAACATGTACCCCTGCCCCGCATCCCGGTATCCATCGGTATCCCCAAGCAGAAGCCAAGCTCCCAGCAGGCCACAGCAGCGGAGTATGATAGAGAAGCAGCTGAGCAATATAGAAAAGAGATTGAGGCCCGCATCACCTGCTTGGAGTTTGAGGCTGCAAGACTCACTGGCAAAGACAATAAGAAGGAACGTTCTGCAAAAGGCCGGGTGAAAGATGTTTATGTGATTTTAGGATATTTTAGGATATTTTAGGCGCTAAGAAATGCTTTGCAATGAAAGACGTTTTGCAGTAGTCTCTCGATATTTGGATGCTGCTTTAGCGGCGTGCATTTCCTGACTGTGCATTTCTGATAGCCACAGTATGCCACAGTCAAGAGTTAGTCAAGGCAAAGAAGTGGCCGAATTGAGAGCCGAGCATCGATATGTAGATGCCTGCAAGATCTCCAAGGGCCTGGAGCCGAAATTTGGCAACTTTGTCACAAAGGCAGCTGTCGTACCTGAGATTGTTCCAGAGCCAATCCAGCAAGTGATAGAGACTAAGCCATCAAAGAAGGAGAACAAGAAGGAGAAGAAGCAAGAAAACGCAGCTTGGTCTTCTTTTTGGATATGATGTTTGGATATTGTTTTAGGATGTTTTAGGCTGTACGGACGGAAGTGTTTGCCACGGCCACATAGCCAGTCAGATCCAGTCAGAGTACACCTGAGTACCCCATGCCGAAAGATTTTGACGGTACGATTTATCTCCTTATTTCTGGGTATTTGAGCAGATTGGATCCAGAGCTAGGCAGGATTGAGCCCAGCTGAAACCAAAGAACTCGAAGATTTGAAACAGCGCATTGTCGAGCGCAAGGCGATCTTGAAGGAGGAGGGCCTGAGCGGTGGTCAGCAGAACAAGGATGAAGAGATCGTGAAGATGGTCGCCCGCATGAACGAACTCAAGGAGAAGCAGGAACCTGGCAGCTCAAAAAAGGACAAGGATGCCAAGAAGGATACAAAGAAGAAGACACCACTGAGCCCAGAAGAACAACGGGACTATGTCAACCTGCAAGGTGAGGTAGAGGTCTACAAAGCAAAATTGAGAAACGAATTTGGATACAGCAACAAGGAGATGAAAGCAGACCCCGATCTGCAAGACATGGAAGCCCGACTTGCTGCTTTCCAAAGACGTGCCTGAACCATTTAAAGGCCATTGCATGCCAGTAGCAGGCATGCCGAATGTGCACGCTGGCAAGGACGTAACATGATGTAACATGTACCTTTGTTCCGCTGCGTCCAGTAGCATTTATTTGTACATTTGCAACTCTTGCATGGAATCGGGCAGCAATGTTTGGCCTCGCGACGACTTGGCTAGAGTAGTTGTCAAATGAAGGAGTCATTCATCTCCAGATATATGATATATAATGATATTATATATATATATATTATATTATATACTTATATAATAATTATGCGCATGTAATCTGTTCTTATCGTTAATTAGCCTATGCACATGCATGCGCACATAGACATAGTATGGCTCCCGGTACGCAAGCAAGACCTACAAGGTTGGAGGGTCCTACGATCCTGTCGAAGGTCCCGACCTATGCGGTACATGACTTCCTTGCAGCAACTGCCGTTTGAACAGCTTTTGACTTCCTGCAGTTGCATCATTTTTAACCAGCATGTTGTCCCCCACCGCTCAGATCAGATGGCACAATACTAAATGTTGTTCCACAGTTTCGGGGTGATGACATGATTTGAATTCGAAGTAAGGCCAAAGAGTCATCCACGGATGAGTCAGACAAGCTTCGGATAGTTAGATTTAGGATCACAGGGCAGCGGCCATAGCTGTACAACTTTATGCTCCAGCAGTGTGGCAGCCTGCAACAGAACTTTTGAAAATAGAGAGTGGACCTACCAAGCCCGCTGCCGGTTTTGTGGCTACCCGCATTGTAAGCTTCCCGGAGATGGATGCGAAATGCAACGTTGCAGCGTTTGGCTCCAGTTTTGGGTCCAGGGGTTGCCCCGATTCTCAGCCGGCGATGGCTGAGAGTCGAGCACCAAGACTTCAGGGGCTGCACAGAAGATCAAGATGATATAAGATGATCAAGCAGATACCATTTACATTACAAACGTGACGAACGGGTCACCGCACGCTCTGACCACGACCTGAAATTGTCCGTTAGGTGAACGAAGAAGATGTGGGGGAAGAGCCATGGTCATCCTCACCACCTGCCTGGTCCTAAAGATCTTAAGTGGCAACAGAGTGTGAGATTTGTCCAAGTCGAGCGAAGTCGAAAGCAGAGGTGCTTTGGCCATGTCGCCATCCTCACCCTCTTCCCCATCTAGTCTCAGCTTTGTGCATGCTCAAAGGCAGCAGGCCAGGGACCCAATGCGTTCCATATTAAAATTTATCATAAGTTGTTCATATTTCTTTGCAGATTTGCAACTCACACGCAGGGAGGGGCAGACATTCGTCGTCAGAGTGATGGCTGCTGGCCAAGGTGTCATCTTCACAATGTCAGCATGCTTCTAGGTCACGGGCTCAAATGACTCAAATTCCACGGCCAAGATCTTCCAAGTTGTCTCCGGCTTCTCGCTTACAGTGACAAGGTGTGTCCCAAGCAGACCCAGTTGGACAGCTTTATCAGCCACATATTCGCCTGCCAGTTGCTCAGTGCATCTCAGCTCCTTAGTTTCCTGGGTAGTGCTGTAGCATAATTGCTACATACATCCATCATCAGACTTGGCGAGGCTGGTCCGGGTGAGGAGTGGACGCCCGAACAGGAGCACATGGCATGGTAGACATTAGTGGACCATGGCATGTTCTGCAGCATCCTGCAGCGTTGCGGAACTCAGCTAAAGGAACAACTTGTCATGGAACAAGTTCTTGGTAGAGCACCCGAGCTGCACATTGGGTCTCCAACTACTTGCAGAAATATGTGTTTTGCTTGACAGCAAGCGCATTCATCTGCATTCAAATCATTTGTGGCTCCCACAAGCCTCCGATATTCTGGCAGTTCTGACAGGTACCTGCCGCCAGCAAGGAAACAACTTCATTATCTGCTGAGTTTGCCCCTCAATGCGTCAATTTTGATGCACTGAGCAGGTGCAGTCCATTTATGCTTAAATGGCCCTAGTAGTTATGCCATGCGCTTTGTCTACGCATGTTATATTATATAATTAAGCTTAGTTTTTATTGCAGACAAGAGTGTTTTATGCACATAAACGCGGAAATACTAATTATATATACTACCACTAGGCTTAAGTCGTATCAATCGACCTGAAGTCGTATCACACCTGCGTGCGCGCAGTGTTTCGTATAGATTTTGATAGTTCTTTATTTGATGGGTTATTGATTCGAACACTTTTTCATCGCTGTGCGCAATGTTTTGTTGACATGATTCTATTTGACCCTACTAGCCCTAGCGTTAAGTCGTATCAGCTCGTAGAAGTTGTATCGGGAGGCCGTGCGCCTGGAAAAAGTTCAAGTTTGGCATCACCACAACTTTTAGTAATTGGACGATTTCATTGTTTTGGGGCCGTGCGCCTAGAAAAAGTTCAATTTTTGTATTGCGTTGATTTATAAAACTTATATTATATTTCATTATTCTTTCAACGGGGCAAACGCTGGTTGCTGCTTTCTGCTTGCTTTCTGCTTGCTTGCTGCTTGCTTGCTGCTCCTTGCTGCTGCCTCCTGCTGCTGCTGCTGTTGCTGCTGCTGCTGCCTCCTGCTGCTGCTGCTTCCTCCTCCTCCTGCTGCTGCTGCTGCTTCCTCCTCCTCCTGCTGCTGCTTCCTCCTCCTCCTCCTGCTGCTGCTGCTTCCTCCTGCTGCTGCTGCCACTGGTGCAAACATTTTGCCGAAAAAGAAAATTGCAGTCTCGGTCGCCTTGTTTGGCGCTGGCGGGAGATACGGGCGGGAGACGCCAGCAGAGGGAGGGAATGTTTACAGAAGGCAGAACTTATGAAACATTCAAGCGGAAGCGGATGTTGACAGCGGTGTGCCACTGGGTTTTCAGATTTTAACGTTGTTGATATGATGATGTTGCCCATAGCTATTACATGGAAATCTATGTTTGTTAGGAAACAAAGTTAAAGATCTGGGAGGCCGTGTGCCATGGTGATTCCTAAATATATCCTTTGAAAACATAGTTTAGACATATGTGAACACCTCAGTGTGCGCAATGTTTTCTTCATTTTTGGAGATATAACAACATTCCTTGAAAGCCGGTGTGCCATTGGGATTTTGATATTTTGATGTGACTTTTGCCCAGTTGATGTGACTTTCTTCCAACTCGCTGTTACATGGGGTTGATGTGACTTCTGCCCAACTGATGTGACTTAAACCCTTCGCTAGTACATAATATATTATGTAGATACAACACATGTATTATCAAATTTCACGAGCTCCTGGAATTTTGGGATTTTTTAGGGAATATTGGATATCAAGGTCAAGATGCAATATTTGCTGCAGTGTACGCGCACAAGGGTCGCACGAAAAAACTTCAGCGTCAGGTTTGCATGGGTTTGCACTGGATCAGCCTTTCATAAACGGAATTGGTCCAATTAATCGCTCAGAAAAATGCAAACGGTCGGAAACAGTCGGAAACGGTCGGAGACAAATTTTTACATAATGAACATATGCTACAAAACAACTACTTTTTTGCCGAGCAAAGGTGCGATCTCCAACTCTTTCCAACCGTTTCCCCTTGGACCATCTAACAAACTGTATTGTACATATATGTTTACATATATTATCATATATTAATATTTATGTTATATTTATATAGGTGCTATATATATATACGTGTGTGTGTGTACTAGATATTAGATATGTACTCTATGTATACCTGTGATGTTATCAATGCCATTGGGGAAGATTCCAATAGTATCAAAACCGGTCAACTAAGCAGCAACATTTGCCAACTTCAGAGGACCCGGCTGTTGCGGAAGCAAACGGAGGAGCTTGTGAAGGCAGACTGCAGTTTCTGTTGTGGAGAACGCTTTCCTCACTGTTCTCCAGTTGTTTCGGAAACGTTTTACTGAGCGTTCTTGACTGGAATTCCACATGCCAAACCACAAATCAATGTGGGGGAGTCGGAATGATCAAACCTGGTCCGGTTTGGCCACGCCTCACAACGACTTCGCTCGCACAGGAAATTCGCATGCTTCGTGAGTGTGTCGCTTAGGGGTTTGAGTGTGACAGTGCGACACAGAACTGGTGGACACTGTTTGGTCCTGCGCTGCTGGGGTCAACAGGTCACTGGCGCAGCGCAAGGGCAAAGATGCCAGCGCAGCGACACAGTCGGCCACTTTCAGGGTCTCTGAGGGGCACTTTGGCAAGGCATAGCATGGACTGCATGGAGTGCATTTCTGTGGTGGACTGGGTTTGGATGAAGTTGCCAAGTTGTTTTCTGATGTTTCTGAATGTTTTTGATGTTTGTTGCAACCCGTTGCTGCTCAGCTTTCTCATTTGCAGAGGAGGCAAGAAATTCGCGTGCCATTATGAAAGACCGACACGTATTGAAAGAATTTTAAAGAGTGGGTCGGTTTTACAAAAGGAACGAACGTGGTTTTATCTTCAAACATCTCATTCGAACACTGCTATATAACCCTGCTCATTGCATATTGAATCATATTGAGACATATTGGATCGTATTGGGATGTATTCCGTATTCCTGAATGGATGAGACTTGTCAAGCAGAGTTCTAGTGTATCATCAAAGGTAGTCAGTGCAGAACAGGATACAAACAGATACAAACTTATACAAACTATGCTGACCATTCTCTCAAATTCTGGAGGAAAACAAGGTTCTTGCGGCAGATAGGTCGCCAAATATCCGCCATGTTGACACTGCTATGCTTCGTGAACTTGTGGCTGAGTCTGAGTGCCTGGCAACCGGATGTGGCTGCTTGATGCATACAGACATGGACCAGGTCAACAGAGAACTCGTGTGTCTACAGACAAGTATCCATGCAAATGTATGCAAATGTACTGTATATTTACTGGTGCACCAAATGCACATGCACCTGCGCATGACAGAATTTTATATACATATTTTGCATGCACGAACAAATCAACCAACACATAAACATAGGCGTAGACATGCTCATGTACAGGTACATAACACATATGATATCCATGTGCATGCCCAATTACATATATAGTAAAAGCATATGCATACACATATATACACATGCCACGCACACGTATATGCATGAACAATCATGAACATATTTATATGCATTCATAGGCACAACACAATATGTATATATATATTGTGTATCTATATATATATATACACTCAATATATCTCAATGTGTGATTGTGTGATTGAGCGCGTGCGCATGTATTGACATATGTTATACTTGTACCGTACTGAATCCGATGTGTACTGTATTCATTTCTTGTTTGCTCTATATTGTCTTGAGTGTCTCCTTGGTGTCGAAGTGCAGGGCTCTTATTGGACCTTCAGCCTGAGGATCCCTACGAAGTGTTGGGGCTCAGTCAAGGTGCAAAGATTGACAGCAACTTGGTCGGTTTAGTGCCCCCTAATTGCGTCCATGACTTGACCCACCACACTTTGATTTGTGCCAGCTTCCCCTTTGTAGGATGCTTTCGGCAGACTGCAACATGTTGGGAAAGAAACGACAGCGTCTAAGTCTTTCTTGTGCCTTCGGGACACTCTTGCAAAGTCCGGCATACGAATCAGCAGCATGCACGTTCTAAATTTGTTTTGGCTGCGCGGAGCTGTCCGAATTCCGAGGCGGTGTGTTGAAACAAGCTTATCGAAAGGCAGCATTGCAGTGGCATCCTGACAAGGTCCCAGAAGAAAAGAAAAAGGCCAGGAGCAGAGGGTTTGAACAGAGATAAAAATTGACAAAAGATGATGAAAGGTGATTTAACGAGGACTCCATTCCAAACCGACCCAAGCTGACTACATAGCCCTTATGTATGTATATATATAATTATATGTTATGTTTTCTCGGCTCTTGATCCACGCATTGTGACATGTGCCACATGATGGGACAACCTTTGGCCTTCGTAGGAGGCAGAGCAGAGATTTATCGAAATCTCGTGGGCATACGAAGTCTTGTCTGACCCTATCCGACGGAAAGCCTTTGACGATCCACGAAAAGATTCCAGTGCAAGTGCAGGCTGATGATTTTGGTGTGAGGTTCATGGCATACCATGGAATCCAGCGAGTCCATTGTGACTGCCAAGCATGCCTTGCGTGAAGTATGGCATTTCTTTTAATGTTCATCAATTTCTTTCAAAGCATGTTTCACTGTTTCACCCGTCGGTCCCATAGCCTGTAGGTCAGGAGCAAGCCCGTGACACACACTGGGAACAAAGAGACTTCGACATGGAGAAAGCCGCCGAAGTCTTCAAAGATGTCTTCGGGAACTCATCCGCTGAATACTTCGACTTGATCCAACATTTGGCAAGGTCTTCCAAGAGCGGATCAAAGGAGCAGTGGAAGAAGCATGCAGAAGCTATTCGATCTAAAATGGAACGGACAGGGAAGAGCTTCTCTGTTGAGACTGCTTCAGAAGATGGCAAAGAGCGGATTGCAACACAGCAATCTGTGGAAGATGCGGCTTGGATTTTTCTCATGAGGCTCAGGTAAATCTTGGCAATTCTAAGCCAATCATACATTTGTTTGGCATTGGCTCAGGTCCACGCTAGGCCCCCTGACAGCTGCCGGTGGAGGTCAGGTTTCAGGAAAAGCGGCAAAGCTTGGAGAGAGATGGTGGTCCATGTGGTCATAGCATGTCATAGCTGAATCATTGAATCCAACGCAAGCCGAGGATGGGAGAGGTACGACCAAGAAGTCTGTCACCACAGTTCACACTCACACTTCATCAGGACCTCAGGGCCAGGGCTCCAGGGATTTGATAACTTTGTCAAGGTCTGCTTCAAGGAAGTCCTTCACCATTCTAAGATGTGTGTAGTTTTGTGTTCAAATGGGGCCCTGTATCGGCCCTTTGAAAACAAGTCTGTTCAGGCGGTGCCTCTCCAACTGCCATAAGTGATGCGGGTTCGCACCAAGCACATCAAGCAGCAATAGATGCACACCAGGCAGCAATGGATGCCCACCAAGCAGCTCTGGAAGCTCATAAGGCAGCTCATGAAGCGGCCGTGGCTAAGTTGCATCGACGACATGCTCTTTTGGTACTATTCATATCTATTCATTACTGACTTCATTCCTTTGAGTTTCAAATCCATCTACTGGGATGATCCAGTGGGCATCAGTGGGCAAAATTAGTCGGATGGAATGATGGGTTGAAGCCGCCAACTTGGCTATATAATTGACAGCAGTGTACCGCCCTGGCTGGGACTGGGGTATGCTCCAGTGCTGGTTAAGGTAAGAGCTTCTCGTGGTGGTGCAGCCTTGCCAAAGACAGACCTGTGAGAAAATGGGGCGCATATGTTTAAACATTTTTCCACTGCTGACAGCTCTGGACACACAAGGCTTCGGAAAGGGTTCCGGATGTGGTGAAAGCTGTCGTTAAACCTTGCCACTCTCAGGTCCTCTGCGAAGGTAGCACCTCCAGCTCCAGCCCCAGCTGCTCCAGCTGCCCCAGCTGCTCCAGCTGCCCCAGCTGCCCCGGCTGCCCCGGCTGCCCCGGCTCCAGCTGCCCCTGCTCCAAAGCCAGCACCGTCTTGACCTGAGACAAATGATGGGAAAGCGGAAGGATGAGGTGTCGAAATTGGGGAGCCCTGACATGCATCAACCTTCTCCAAAATGTATACATCAAGATGATTTGTTCAGCAATGTTCAGCATATTCGGACTGATTTCAATATCTGAAGGCAATGGTTGGATGCTTTTTTGACCACACTAGCGTGATCCCGCATGCCTTGAGGGTTGCTGCTCAAATGCCAGCTCCAGCACCGCCACCACCTGTGGCTGCGCCACAGCAGGTAGCTTAGTGATCCTGGAGCAGTGCAAGAGGGTTGTTTCATTCAGTTTGATGTTCTTTGTTGTATTGGGTGGAACATTGCGAAGTACACCAGACATCATCAGACATTTTAATGATTTTAATGCGTGTCAGATCATTTCAGGAGCACTTCTCAAAATGTGTTTCCACACATGTCATGACAGCTCCACACGAAAACCTTAGGCCTGCCCCAGCACCTGCACCTTCGGTCCAGGTGGAACATGGTGATGTGGTGGGCGATGCTGTTGGGTGCCCATGATTCCAATGAATTCCCAAATCATGGCCACTTCAATTATGCAGTCATATTCCATCTCGCTCCCGGCATAGCTCGGGCAGGAAGGCCTGATGGCGAGGGAGAGCGCGCGAGAGAGAGAGAGAGAGCGAGCTATTACATATGTATATATAATATATATATATATAGAGTTGCCTCAATGAATGTTGATGAACTTTGTGGAATTGTTTGGTATTATTACTTCATTATCTGTATTTGATATTCTTGTGCAATATTTATTTGCTCATGTTTGTCAATGGCAATTTGGAGGCCACCGACTCTACCAGCGTGAAGATCGTCAGTGTTGCAGCCATAGTGTTTTTTTCTCCGGCAGCAGTGAGACGGAACAAATTTTCATGTCCAACAAGGATCAATAAGGAGTATATATTTATAATATCAGACTGGTTTTGATGAGCACAGGCAGGTCATGGTGATGGTAACGTTGCCGACTTCTTCTTGAATGACAAGAAGATCGACATTAGAGGGGAGGCCGGGAAGACCTGTTTTGGAATGTAATGTTTTGCGGCAAGGCCTCCATTTGCTCACAGGCTGGCAGAAGAGGCCTCAACGTTGTCACATTAGACCCAGACACACAGCAGGCCGGAAACCCGTGGGACTCACATAAGCGCAACATCGCGTAACGGTGAACCATGGTGAACCCTTTCCCCCTGACTTCCAGTATCTTCCAGTGGAATCTTCCAGTGACTTGTGGATCTTGTGGATCGTGGCAGCGCATAGGTCACCTCAAGGAAGACCTACGATGTTTGGGCGGATCCGCAGACCGAAAACACGAGATTAGCCTGCGGGCCCTGGAAAGATATTGCGTCAAACCAGAAAGCCCGATGAACTCTGATGAACTCTGATGAACTCTGATGAACAGATAAACCCTGGCAAACACTGCCAAACACCTGTATCCGGCTGGTGCTTTGTTGCATTTTGTTGCAGTGTGGTAACAGCTGGGGCACGGATTACCCGTTGAAATAGCCCAAACATTGTTGATCAAAGAGCCGCTGCGTGTGTTTTCTGTTTGTTTTGGGCAGACAGTGCTGAAACTTGAGGCTGGAGACATCAATAGCCTTCCAGACGGTCGAATTGTCATGGTAGCGTGCAAGGAGGGAGCTGGTTCGAGCTGATTCATGCAGTTTGCATCAGTTTGCAAGTCTTCATGATTCTTGAACGTCTTGAACTGTGCTTGAGGCTTGAGCTTTATTTATTTGGAGATGATATTTTTCATTGAGAGCCAGCATTCTGCAACGCAGTTCATTCACCAGATTTCACCAGGACTCTGGGATGGAAAACCTGGATGCCCGAGCTATCGCAGCACTTTGGAGCGCTGGGCTCAAACTGCTGTGCATATGCTGTGCATGGACAATCACGGACATCTGCTCGCGATGTGTGTGTGTGTGTGTTTCAACATCTGAAAAATGTGAAGGGCGTATGATGGTGCATGCCCATCGAGTTCATATATTACATAAATATGTGAATATACATGTCTTGGGTCTCAGAACACTGAACAAAGAGAGAAAGAGAGAGAGAGAGAGAGTACCACCTTTCCAATATTTTTCTGTCATCACAGCTTTGTCCGTTCTACTGAGCGCCCAATGGTCCGGCCCTGTGAATCCACGTGAAGACTTCAGTATGATTTTCTATGTTTAGCTGCTTTCGGTAGTTTTTCTCTGGCGAATTGCTGGACAAGAAATGATACTGTCTTTGAGCCAACTGTCCCGCAAAGTCGGCCAAAGCAACATATCAATACACATCATATTTTCTTTGCAGCAAATGCTAGATTCTGCTAGCTGCTAGATTTTGTTGTCAAGAGAAAACTGGCAAATACCAAAGGTAGACCGTTTTCAGCCATTACGGGGAAAGCCATGCGAAGTTGGAAATGCGAAAAGAGACTCATGCCACTACTTAGTATTGTGGCGTACTGTATGAGTGGAAAATCTTTAGATGCGTCATGATGCGTCCATGTCCAGGTGCATACATGTACATACAGCACGTAATCATTGTCGCATATCGTTGCATGTTGCATGTTGGTTTCTGGCCTTTGAACTGGGTGGTTGACGTTGATGGTCCATGGATTCGGTGAGGCGCTGGTGCCACAATTCCAGGGGGCAAGGAGCGTGAAGGCTATGCCTTGATTGGCGTGAAGGGAGGTGAAGCCCTGGCAGAAGAACAAGGAGGTCGAGCCAGGAACCAAGAAACCGAACCAGAACTTCAGAACGGATCAGAACGGTCCACCAAAAATGGAGTGCTAGTGCTGCTAGTGGGGTTGGATCGGTCAAGTTGCAGCGAACATGCTGTGCCGGAAGTTTAGGGCTGAAAATCCTGGAGATCTGGGTCACTTGGGTCCGTCCTATCCGTCCAAGGCGGAAGTGTCCGGAAGCGTAGCTTTTTTTGTGTGCGACTCAGTACTGACTCAGTGGTAGCTGTTGGAAGGGCTCTTGACGGTCTTCTGGCCAAGGTGCGCCACCCGCCACCCTTGGCTCCAAGCCCACCTCCAAAAATGCCCGCGTTGCAAGCCAAGCGATTCTGATGGCCCGGTTTCATTGCACGAACTTGTATTTTTTTGTTCGTGAGCATGGCCCTTGGATCCCTCAATGGCATGACTTGGCAGCTGCAGTTCAACATAATTCAACAAATGAGTTGGGGGCTGGTTCAGAACGTGTACGCAAAACCATCAAAACCATCTCCCATCCAACATGCTGATCATCCATCATCATCCTGATGTATCCTGATGTTAGGTCCCAGCCGCCGCAGCAGTTCAGCCCACCTACATGGGTACCAGCCTTAGCAACTTAGCATCGCTCAGCGAAACGATCAGACGATGCGCGCAGGCGAAGCAACCAGCGGCTGCTGCTGCTCCTGCTCCATCCACTTTTCCTACTGCTCCACCAACAGCGGAGCGCCTTCGGCTGCACAGGATTCAGATCTCGAGAAGTTCCACACCCGCTTTGTCCACTGTGGACACATGTACAATGCTACACTGCTACACCCCTCCGCAAACATTTGACATATTCTGACATGCACGGGCATTATGTGGATATATGATGATATATGTGGATTCAAGATGATTCAAGTGGCTACAGATGGCTACAGATTTCACAATTTTTACAGCAAGAGCACCTCCCCGAGGCCGACGCAGAAAGTGCGGGTCCCGAAGCTCCAGGCAGGAAGCCCATGGAAGCCCCGTATGTTGGTTGCCATTGCCCGTGTATCCCGTGACAGGTTGATCCTCAAGGGGGTGTGACCTACCAAGATGAAACCGTGGAGCGGGATGGGAAGCCGGAAGAGCAGGGGCAAAGTTGGCAAGAGGCGTGGATGCCTTGGGCTGTCGCATCTGTCGCATTTTGGCCTAGGAACTAGAAACTTATGTAATTAATAAGTATAATAAGTTAAGAAGACAGTTAAGATTATGTATTATATTGCATATTATTATTACTGGTATTATTATTATATTATTATTATTAATTTTATTATTACTATTATTACTATATATATATACAGTATATACTACCATATTTATATACATACGCACATCGATAGATAGATATTGGTCCAAAGAAAATGTCGTACTGATTACAGAAGGCCAAAGGGGTCTAGAGGAAAAGGAGGAGGAGGAGTTAATGAGTTAATGAGTTCATTAGGTCGAGAGAGGAGCCACTGAAACTAGAAATTGTGAAACCTCATGAAACCGGCATGGATTACAGCTATCAAATGCGCATGCATACGGCTTCGCAGGTAGTGCTCATGCTGGACAAGCTGCAGGAAAAGATCAAGGCACTGGTATGCGCTGGCCATCCTACAAAACTTGTACGTTCTTTCCTCTTTTTGACTGCTGTTCGCAGTATTTCCGCATCATTTTGGGAAAGTATACCTTTCAGTACAAAGCTGTCAGGCTAAGCGGCTCGCAGGTCTCTGAGGCGGCTTTTCCCCGGAAAAAATGCACCAGACACATGTTGAACACAAGTTTCAGCAAGATGGCAGCTGGCCACGGGCTGATCCAAATTTGGTGGGAGAAACTCCCCACCCAAGAAGGCGATGGAGACCTAAGTCTGACCTGCCGCGTTTTTGCGTTCCGCCCTTTTGGGCGTGTTGCCAAGCAACCGCTGTCGCTATGAAACCTGCTGACTAGGACTACGACATACTAGGACTAGGCTTTGCCAGGAATGAAAATGGGACAAGTGCATACAAGTGCCAAAGCTGCCTGAACAGAAAGTCATCCTGCATAGTGGCCTGTGGCTGCCGGGGGTTGCAAGCAGATTGAATTATTATGCAACATCATACAGAGAATATATGACAGATGGAGTATTAGGAATGCATTAGGAAAAAAAAATGTATTAGGCATAATCTCATGAATTAAACAAATGATTACGAGGAAATGCAAATGTCCTTTGCTCCGAGTGAGGGCCTGGTTGGGGGGTTGCTCAGGCCAAGGCTGCTCAAGCTGCTCATTATGGCGACGATGTCGGCATTCAAAAGCAAACACATGAGAAAAAGATATATAGAACAAGTGAGAAAACACACGTGTCTTGCACATATTTGCACATCGGAATTGAAACACAGTGCTTGCTGCGCTTGCTTCCATGCAATTTTCGAGACCTCGTCGTGCTTTTTGGCCAGCCATGCTGACGTATTCAAAGTTCTTTATTGCTCCTTGCAAGCACAAACATGAGATGCTATGAGATGCACCCCATTCTGCTGTGAATGTGTGTCTAATGTGCATGAATGGAAATGCAAAGATGTCAAAGGCATTGACTTGTGTGCCCAAAACCGCAACGTTTGAGGCATTGCTCCTGGTTTTCATCCTAGAGGCTGGTCTTGCTGGACCGTCCTCAGAAGATAGAGCAGACGGAAGGGACGGGAAGACTTGGCACTGCAGGGCTGCGATCATGACCGCAGTGATTCGTGTCGATCTCAAGAGGATATGAATCACATGATTCACATTTTTTCCATTGAGAAATGGGTACAGTAACGTCGTGTGTAAGTCCTGCTGACAATGTCATTGAATGTCATGCTATGTCAATGTAAGCTTGGCTTCCAAGCGGGGTGGAGACTCGAGAAGCTTGGGCCAAGGCCATCTTCAAAGGCCAGGAGCCGTGTTGCGTTTCATGCGATTTATATATATATATACTCGTACTTTATATATCATATACTTTATTTAATATCTTTATATCGATTTATGGGATATGAACATGGAATGACATGGATATGGGGGGCCCCTGGGGATATCGTGGAGCCGGGGGATGGGAGCAGATCCTGAAGCCAGCACCTGCGAGGCTCGGAAAGCAAGCGAGGTCGTAAAAGTGCCTGGCTGGGAAGCGAAAGGCTTCCCCTTGTCCTTTGCCATCAAGGTGGGCCTTTGGAAGATTTCGGAAGTCCAAACAGAGCTCCAAACGCAAAATTGAGCGATCGGATGGAATGGATTTGCCTTGATGAGACTGACTTGACCCGGGCAGATCCAGGCAGTGTGTATTGGCAACTTGTGACCAAGTTGTGACCAAGTTGTGACGCTGTAGGCAGGTAGCATGGTCTACGTCAGTGGAATGCAAGGCATGGACATGAAGCAGATGAAGTCAATGCCTCAAAGCATTTGGATGCGTTTGGAGTTCCAGTGTGGAAGAATTGCCTCAAACATCCTTCAACATCCCTTAACTGCATGCATAGATGATTAAGGCTGGTGGAAGGCGGGGTAAAGGAGGAGACAAAACAAATACTGCGGAACTTGGACACTGTACTGCAGGCAGGATGCAAGGTGAAGACGAGATCATATGAGTGACTGAGAGTATGAGTACACTGAGTACACAAGCGAGAGAGAGAGAGAGAGAGTGTTACATAGTACATGCCTGGCAGGCTGCTAACAGCAGTATGAAGCAGGTCGTTTGCCCTGACTCGTGTCCAGCTGGTGGACTTCTTTTGGTGAAAAACTGTTACATACTGTTACATTATGTTACATTCTAGTTAGCTTTCTTATGCTTTCTTCTGCAGGTGGCGCTGCGCCGCAGCTGCATTTGAGTTTGGGTTGCGATTTTTTTCCCGTTTTTTTGAGATTTGTTTCCCGCTTTTGGGGTTGGGTTTGATGGTTTTCATTGGTATTTGCAGCGTTTTGCAGCTAAGCTCTCTGATTTGCATGGTGTTTGTTACATTTGGAGTTTGGATCCCCCAGGCGCGTGATATTTTGAATACCAGGGATGATGAAAATGGTCACGAGATAAACTAGAAGTTCAAGGGGTTAGAGAAATGGGAAAAATAGATACAGATAGGTTATGAAAACATACAAAATAAGATCGGGGGCAGAATTAAGTTGGCATGTTTTTTCATTTTTCTTTTTTTGGTCGTCCAGGCTCCCTTCCTTGGTTTTTGCAGCTAAAATCTCTCATTTGCTGCATTTTGTAGCTAAAATCTCTCATCCGCACTGTTCATCAATTTTTCCACTGGTTTCAGAATTTGTTCCATGGTTTTTATCAAGTTTTCCATGGTTTTCATTGATTTGTCCATGATTTTCACACAGTCCATGGTTTTCTTCAATTTGTCCATGGTTTTCTTCAATTGTTCCTTCGATTGTTCCATGGTTTTCTGCCATTTTTCAATGGTTTTCTTCAATGTTAGTTTCTATGTTTTTCTTCAATTTGTGTATGTTTTTTCATTCAGTTTTCACTTGTGTTCATTGATTGTTCCAGAGTTTTCATTGATTTTTACATGGTTTTCATCGTTTTTTCCGAAGTGTTCATTGATTTTTGAACATACGCGATGTGCAAACTATGCATTGTAGCTGTATATTGTAGCTGTATAGATGCATGACTAATCATGACTACATGTATATGTAGATCAGTGTATTTACAAATGTATTTAATTATTATATATATATATGCAGGGTTTGGTTTAGGGTTTATTTAGGGTTGGTTTATGGTTTCGTCTAGATTTGTTTGGGGTCTATTTAGGGTTGGCTTAAGGTTTCTTTGGGGTTGGATTAGGGTCTGTTCAGGGTTTGTTTAGGGTTGGATTAGGAGTTATTTAGGGATACAGCATGTACATACAAATGTATAACTATAAAAGTTGTATGCATATCCATGCAAATGATTATTTATAGTTTATGTTGTTGTTGTTGCTGCTGTTGTTGTTGTTGATGTAGATATAGATATAGATTGGTATAAATAGATACAGATAGATGTAGACATAGATATAGACATAGATATAGACGTAGATATAGACATAGATATAAACATAGATAGATATAGATAGATATAGACAGGTATAGACAGAGTTAGATAGATAGAGATAGATATAGATACAGAGATAGATAGATGGATGTGTATCTAATGCACAACATGCACCTGGTGAACGTGCTTGACTGATAGATTGATCGATAGATGATAGATGAGCCATAGGAGCCATTGAAGCCACAGAAGCCACCAGGAGCCTCCGGAGCCACCAGGAGCCACCAGGAGCCACCAGGAGCCACCAGGAGCCACCAGGAGCCACCAGGAGCCACCAGGAGCCACCAGGAGCCACTAGGAGCCAGGACCGTAGAAGCCACAGAAGCCACGAAGCCACCAGGAGCCAGGACCAAAAAAAATGCAAAAACAAATGCCCCTCCAATAAGATCAAAGGCACGACATAATTAACTGATATATCCAACACCAGAGATGATGAAAAATGTTGTAGGGCCAGGCATGAGTTAGAAATGCACGAAGATGAAGAACAATAAGGAAAAAACAGGTTGGATAAAAAACAGAATAGCAAGATCAAACGAATTACATGCATGCTGTCAGGTTTGATCAGATGGAACAGGTACAATAGACAAGAAAAACAAGAAACAAAGGCTATATTGATAAGCGCCGGGCTAGCGTAGTTCGCTGTATGGATAAATATGATAAATGCAGGGCTAGCTATATTCGTAGCTAGTGTTGTAGGTGCAGTGATGCTAATGTTGTGTCTTTTCGTGTTTGTTGTGGTGTTTGTGTCTGTATTGGCGCTTCGTGTTGATGATGTTGTTGTTGTTGTTGTTGTTGTTCTTGTTGTTGTTCTTGTTCTTGTTCTTGTTCTTGTTCTTGTTGTTGTTGTTGGTGCTGCTGCTGCTGCTGCTGTTTGTGTTCGTTGTGGCACTTCGTGTTGATGATGTTGTTGGTGGTGGTGGTGCTGCTGCTGCTCTTGTTGCGTTCCTTCCTTCCTTCCTTCCTTCCATCCTTCCTTCCTTCCTTCCTTCCGAAAACGGGAAAAAAACATGATAAACGGGTACAAAAAACAGAAAAAATAGCCCTCCGATGCTGCAGTCTCCGGTGAAGTGGATTGATGCCAAAGGTGCAGCGTTTCTCTGGTGAACATTTCCCGCGACTTCAAGGACATGAACGAGGCAGGCAGCGTTCAGGCTCTTGAATTTGAAGACGATTCAGCATGATTCAGCCATTCAGCGTGCAAACAGAAGGACAGGCAACAATTTGCGACCGGTTTTCATTGGCTTTGAAGGCTGCCACGGGTTGCCATACCCACATCGGATCGGATCCGTGTGTTGATGGCTGATGGCTGAAGGCCTATGCCTCGTTCTGGTCGAAGGATCCTCCTGCACGTGTGGCAGTGCAAGTTGCTGCTTTGGCGGGAAACGCTTCAGCACCTTGGCATTGGATTCCAATGTTTTGCAGGGTGTTGACGCGCGGTGTTGACATGACAGGTGACAGAGAACCTTGGATATTTATGATATTTTCAGATCTCCTGTTTCAAAGGTCGAAATTCAGTGCAATGCTGCCCTGAACACCACAAACCGAAGCATCGTGGAGGTGTGAACCCCAGAATTTGAATCAACCTGCAGTGAGGTAGGTGCATGCGAGGCACGTTGGTTGGATATGAATGGATATGATATGAATGGTCTTTATGCAGAGCTTATTTTCTTGAGGTGCCGTCCCTTCCAGCCCCAAAAGGCTAGAGCCACGCATCTTTTGTTTTGCCTTTGTGAGGTTCATCCCAAACCACTAGGGCACTAGGGTCACCAGGGTCGGGGCTGCGATGGGACAGGCTTTCCACTGTCCTGGGCCACAAAAGTGGATGGAATGGTCTACATGAGTGGCCAGATGCCAAGCAGCAAGAAGCTCTACACGGGCAGCATTTCAAATAGGTTGAAGGCATCGACATGTCCTGCCTCAGAAAAGCTGGTGAGTATTGCTTGAGGCACTCAAGGTATGGACATGGCCACAGGCAAGCTGGTTCCTGGAGGTGTCAAGGCTGAGACGACTCAGGCAGGAAGCCTGATGGAGTGCCAGATGGCAAACGGAATCATATGACTTTTCATTCAAGTTCCAATTAAATTGAAATTGGTTACAAGAAAAGAGCAGATAAAAGCTAAAGGTATACCAATGTGTGCAGCTGTGCTTGCTACCGGCTAAGGCCCTAAAGAATATCCAGCAATTGCTACAAGCAGCAAAGTCAAATGCGGGACGTGCAACTCAGCTGTGCAGCGCTCCACTCACGTCCATGCAGCACAGACCTGCACAGTTGGGTTTATTCCTGCTCTACCATCAAGAAGACATGTGAGCTCACAAAGCTGCACAAGACGTTCCTACGACTGCCGCATTTGTCGTTTTTTTGCCCGGTGGACGTCGGACTTGGTTGATACATGTTGATACGTTCTCCTGTAGTTGGTGGATCAAGGCGATCAAGGAACTGTTCATCCGAGGTAGTTGCCTGCAGCGTGTCCCTCATCGACATCAAGGACTTTGCAGAGATGAATGAGGCATTTGGATGCATTTGGTGGATTCGTGATTTCTATGAAAGCAGCTGCCTTTCCTCCCAACTATTTTTCGGATTGGCAAGGCCTACAAAGCATTTTGGCCTGAACATGCGGAACTGGGCGGCTTGCCATCCAGGGTGCCTTGCCATGGTCCAGTGGTTCAGGGGTTTGACCTCCGGTTCGTTTCGCCAGGTTTGTGTGGAAGTCTCTGCGCTGGCAGGGCAGGGCAAGGTGCCAAAAACATCGATGTCCATCGATGATCATTCATAATCCTTTTCAATCTTTTGAAAGTGTATCCATAGGTGCATTTGTTTGTCTTACCAGATAGTGCCCGGCACGCCACGGGACGGAAGTGTCCAAAAAACGGAAACCGCTACAGTATAGGAAGAAGATTGCCTATAGGACCTATAGGATCCTATGGGAAAGTGTTTGAGATGCAGAAGCAACGAAGTGTTGAAGTTGTGAGGCGCATCAACGAATAAGCAAATGGTGGCTGAGATGCCAATGAAATGACATGAAGAATCCACGGACAACTGCTTGAATGCCAATGAACCGATGAAGCAATGAATCAATGAGGCAAGAATCAATCAATCACTCAATCAATCAATAGATGGAAGGATGAATGAATGGATGGATGGATGGATGGACAGATGAATGGATAAACGGCTAGATGGATAGATGGATCGAACCAGTCAATCAATCAACCAATCAATCACTCGATCAATGAATCAAGGAATCAGGCAAGCAAGCACGCAACGAAGCAATGAATCAACGAATGAGCGAAGTAGTGAATCGATCAATCAATGATTGCATGCAATGAAGCAATCATTCAACGAATCAATGAGGCAATGGATTAACAAAACATAACAAAACAACGAATCAACCAATCCATAAACCAATGAATCGATGAATCAACGAATAAACGACTCAAGGAACGATAAGGAAGAATCAATGAATCAGCAAATCAATGAATCCACGAAGCCGTGAATCACCGAATCAATCAATGAATACTAATGAATCAGTGAACCAATGAATGAAGCAGTGGTCGAATGATTTGATGGACGGGCGGATGCATGGATGAGTGAGCTACTTCTTTGTTGAGCTACTTCTTCAGTGAGCGACCTCTTCGTTGAGGTACATCTTCTCTGAGATACTTCTTTTCTGAGCAGCGTCTTATCTGGTCTCTTCTTCTCTGATCCGCTTCTGCTCTGAGCTGCCTCCCAGCTACCTATTTTGATCTATTTTGCATTATTTTGCAGCTTCTGCAACCCAATTCTTTTCTTCGCGCAGCTGTTACAAAGAGTTTAGCAACCTCCAACTGCAATCCCGCATAGCACAAGGGCAACACGATGATCAGGAACTACCTTTTACGCACCTGAGACAATGCGTTTAGCAACCTCCAGCTGCAATACCCGTACCACTCTGCTGACCTTTTTGGACGGAGGCCGGGAAAGCCTCTGTGTGTAAAAGCGTCTGTGTGTAAAAGCTTCTGTGTGCAAAAACTGCTGTGTGGAAAAGCGTCTGTGTGTCAACGCGTCTGCGCGTAAAAAAAGCTTTGTTGTGCAAAATTGTGTAAATGCGTCCGTGTGTAAAAGCTTCTGTGTGTCAAAGCTTCTGACGAGTCGAAGTCGGAGTACGCGTCGGAGTGCGCGTCGGAGTAGGCGTCGTAGTAGTAGTAGTAGTAGTGGTAGTGGTAGTGGTAGTGGTAGTAGTAATGGTAGTAGTAGTGGTAGGTAGTGGTAGTGTTAGTGGTAGTGGTAGTGGTAGTAGAAGAGAAGGGGGGGAGGGGGTGGACTCAAATCAGACGAGGCAAAGATGTGCGGGGAGAGAACAAAGGAACAAGTACAAGCCAAGAACAGGAACAAGCACAAAACAAGAACAAACAGAAGAACAACACCTCACAATCAGACACGCCGGCGGGCCGGCGGATTACAAGACAATATATTACGAGACAACATACAAAGATATACAAAGGACATATGAAATCCATATGAGAAGAAAAGGATGACATGTCAAGAAAATGGCTTTAGGGCGGAAACTGAAGAAAAGTTGTTTAAAATGTTCTACATCAGACACCTTTACACGCAGCTACTCTACTCTACATCCTTTTCACGCACAGCGGCTTTCACACACAGACGCTTTTACACACAGACGCTTTTACACACAAACGCTTTTACACACAGCACCTTTACACATAGACGCTTTTAAACACAGACTCTTTTACGCATAGGCGCTTTTACACACAGACGGTTTTACACACAGACACTTTTACACACAAACGCTTTTTACACGCAGGCGCTTTTGCACACAGACGCCTTCATACACAGACGCTTTTACACACAAACGCTTTTACACACAGACACTTTGCACACAGATGCTTTTGCACACGGCGCTTTTACACACAAACGCGTTTACACACAGAAGCTTTTACACCAGACAAAATCGTGACATTTAAAGTCGCTAGGCGACCACCCCATCTTTGAGATTCCAAGCGTCACAGGCAGCAATTCTTTTCAGGTCGTGAGATGCGGGGCGGTGCTGACTGGACGCATCTGAGATGGATACGCACAAAGCAATCACCAGACCTTGGCTGCATGCAACACAGGCGTGAAACAATCTTGGAGAATGGAAGCATGTAACGGCCGTATTGCTGTTGTAACCTGCTGGGGAGCTGCAGTCATGTTGCAGGCGCTTTTTTTGCTACCATCAAAGTCCGCGTCATAGTACAAGGACAATTGGGTCACGGACAAATCCGGTCGACCTGCTCTGCTTGTTCCCAGAAGAGCAATAGATGCTGCGAAACAGCGACTTTGAGTCGCTACTTCATATGGAGTTAGTCCTTCTCTGTTTCTCATTGCAGGACCAGCATTCAATTGCGACAGCCATATTTTCTCGTGCTGCAATATGCAAAGCCGTATCATGCTGCCCCGAGCTGCAATTTGGATCCTCTGCTGCCTCAAGTAAATGCCAAACAATATGATACTTGTAGCTTTGGTTTTCGATAGCCTGGAGAATAGGTGATAACCCAGAGCATTTACAACTTGCGCTTGCTGCAGCTCGTAACACGGTTCGCACTGCATCCACGAAATCGTACACACTGAACACATCGCGGCCAACTGCTTGAGACAACGGTGTGTGCCCATGGCTATTCAAGATATTCGGATTCGCAGAGGCAGGCAGCAAGGAACGAACGCACTCGACATGCCCTTGGCCGGCTGCATCATGTAGCGCCGTTTGTCCCCAGCATGAAGTGTCCAGAAGGTCTGTTTGAGCTCCAGCTTCAAGGAGAAGATTAAGCATTTGCAATTTACCGAAGCGTGCAGCAACTTGCAGTACGGAAAAGCCGTCGTCATCCTGCGCATTCGGATCCAAGGAGCGCATGATCATCGTCTCAACTGTTTCGATATCGCCATTCTCCAATGCATCGAACAGTTGTTTTCTCTGCCCCAGGGTGCAGAGTCTGTGTCGTGGAACCTGCACAAGCAGAGCAATCTCTGCTGGCACCGGTGATAGCATTCTCTGATCACTCACGGGCTTCCATTGGCCAGAAACATTCTCACATGAAAACGATTAATCCCCAGCGTGCATGCCAGTGCATTGCGCAGAACCTTCGCTTCTCGTGCTTCGAGTTCTTGAGGGTCAAAGGTCGTTGCCAGTTCACCAGACAACTTCCATAGCACCCTTATGGAACTATCATTGGACTACGGCTTTTGATTGAAGGTTGTCACAATGTGCGAACAGGTATTAACACGTCACAATGCCAAACCCTTTTACCAGGTGCATACATGCGTCATCATGTGTTGCATCAGCCTCACGGTAAATCATACAAGCCTATTGCCTACTTATCTCCCTCTCTGAAAGTGGCTTGAAGGCATCGGTCGCAACATGCAGAGAAGCAAACAAGATTGCCAGGTTCGTGCATGCAAAGCAAGTATAAGTAGATCAAGTGACGGGCTCCTTCCGTCCCCATGGCATATGCTGTCACACCTCAGCATCCAAGAAAACCTTCAAACGACCATATGACAAATTAGTCATTGCTAGCCGCTTCAGCGGAAAACTTTTTTGCAGACAAGATCTCAGCTAAAGTCAGTTGAGATATCCGAGGTTTTGGCCATGCGAGCAGTAGCGTATGACTTTTCTGACTCAGTGAGTCTGAAAGGTCATAAACCATTGATCGCCACCTGAGTCGGGCTTTAAAACGCAGGGCGGTTTCAACACACATGTCTAACGTCGGGCAAATATGTTATAGTTATAGCAGCCACACTTGTGTCTTCCCTGCGATCGACTTGCTACGGAAAGGCATGGCCACGGACATATCTGGCTGGCCACTTTTCGCAGGTCACGGACAAATCCGGTCGACCTGCCCCGCTCTTCACAAAAGAGCAATAGAAGCTGCGAAACAGCGACTTTGAGTTGCTACTTCATATGTACTAGTAGTTAGTCCTTCTCTGTTTCTTGGGGCAGGATCAGCGTTTTTGTCCAGCAACCATCCAAATGCGACAGCTATATTTCCACGTGCAGGCACCAAGGCCCCGAGCTTCTGACCAAGAGCACAGCCCCTGTCACACACACGGACACCTTTACACACGGACGCTTTTACACACAGAACCTTTTTCACAAGAATTTTTAAAACACACAAACGCTTTTACACACAGACACTTTTACACACAGAAACTTTTACACACAGATGTTTTTACGCACGGACGGTCTGTTCACAGACGTGTTTACAAACAGACGCCTATACACACAAACACCTTTACACACAGACACTCTGCACACAAACGCTTTTACACGCAGAAACTTTTACACACAGACACTTTTACACACAGACTCCTTTACACACAGACACTTTTACACACAGAAGCTCTTACACACAGACGCATTTACACACAGCCGCTTTTACACACAAACGCTTTTACACACAGCACCTTTACACATAGACGCTTTTAAACACAGACTCTTTTACGCATAGGCGCTTTTACACACAGACGGTTTTACACACAGACACTTTTACACACAAACGCTTTTTACACGCAGGCGCTTTTGCACACGGACGCTTTTTCACACGACGGTTTTACACACAGACGCTTTTACACACAGTTTCTTTTACACACCGGCACTTTTACACACTTTTACACAGAGATGCTTTTACACATAAACGCTTTTACACACAGATGCTTTTACACACAGACACTTTTACACACACCAACTTTTTCACGCAAACACTTTTACACACAGACTCCTCTACACACAGACACTTTTACACGCAGATGCTTTTACACACAGACGCCTTTACACACAGCCGGTTTTGCACAAAAACACTTTCACACACAAACGCTTTTACACTCGGACGCTTTTACACACACACCCTTTTACACACAGATTTACACACAGTCACACACACAGATTGACACACAGACACGTTTACACACAGACGCTCTTACACAAAAACGCTTTCACACACACAATAACTTTTACACAAAAAGTTTTACACACGGACGTGTTTACACAAAGACACTTCTACACACAGACGCTTTTAAACACACATGCTTTGAACGCACGCTCCTTTACGCTTGGGAACCCGCTTCGCAACCTAGGGTTCAGCAAGACCATAACACATTTTCATCACATGCCAACCATGGCAATGGCAATTTTAGACCCTCGGTTCGTGCGAAAGGGTTGCGCGCGGCCCGTCCAAATCACAATTTTACCCCATTGTTTGACGTTCGACCCTCATTTCGTGCGAAAAGGTTCCGCGCGGCCCGTTCAAATCGCAATTTTACTTCAGTTTCTGACGTCATTTCGAAGGAGAGACTGTCGCGTTTCGTGATGGTTCGTGGCCACCGCCCCCGCCTTAAGAGAGAAAATAGAAGAGAGAAGAGAAAAGAGTCAAGAGAGAAGAGAGAAGAGAGAAGAGAAGAGAAGAGAAGTGAAGAGAAGAGAAGAGACGAGAAGACAAGAGAAGAGAAGAGAAGAGAGAAGAGAAGAGAGAAGAGAAGAGAGCAGAGAAGAGAAGAGAAGAGAGGAGAGGAGAGGAGAGGAGAGAAGAGAAAAGATGAGAAGAGAAGAGAACAGAAGAGAAGAGAAGAGAGAAGAGAAGAGAGAAGAGAAGAGAGAAGAGAAGAGAGAAGACAAGAGAAGAGAGAAGAGAAGAGAAGAGAGAAGAGAAGAGAGAAGAGAAGAGAGCAGAGAAGAGAGCAGAGAAGAGAGAAGAGAAGAGAAGAGAAGAGAGGAGAGGATAGGAGAGGAGAGGAGAAGAGAAGAGAAGAGAAGAGACGAGACGAGAGGAGAGGGGAGGAGAGAGAGAGAGAGAGAGAAGGAAGAGAGAAAAAAGAAAGAAAGAAAGAAAAAAAGAAGAAAAGAAAAAAAGAAAGAAAGAATGAAAGAAAGAAAGAAATCTAATGAAAGAAAGACGTAAGATGTGAAGATGTCATCGAAAACTTATTATCTCAGTTTTTTTTGGAAGAACTCTGCGCTCAGGTGCTCTCGGGAATAAACCAAGAAGTAGATAAATATGAAACTCATATGCGCACCCGTATGTACACATATCCGCACGTCCATGGCCTGTTAGATGGGCAGGTGGAGGTCCAATGCACTGCTGCAGGTGGGTCCCATGTGAGCAGTTGTCACTTCATGTGAGACTGCGTGATCCTGGCCAAAGGTACTGATGTGCCTCATGGTGAAATTCCCAGGGCTGTGAAGGCAGCGCAATTGCCATGCTACTTAAATGTTATATTTTGGAGGATTTGATTCACGAAAAAATTAGAGACCACATCACCACCTGCAGGTCCCGGGCTGGCCCAAGGGTGACTTGCCCTTCTCTGCTGCGACCAAAGTGGATAGCATTGCTTTCATCAGTGGTAACCAAGGCAACACTAGGGCTGCCGTGGTGCCATGTGGTGCTTCTGATTCCGCCAGTGCATTGCTCGGCGCTCCCCTCCTGAAATGCTGCAGGTGTTGACATGAACACCTCCAAGCTTGTGGAGGGAGGTGCTGGGCCAGAGACCACGCAAACCTTGAAGGATCCTTGGGTGGAAAGTGATGAGAAAAACAATGAGACAATTTGAGCCAAATTGATTGTTTGATCCAAGGAATCCACGCTAAACAAAATCAGTCTTGCAGTCGGTATTCTGGCAATTGTCTGCGAAAAGCAGTCGCATAGTCAGGACATCAAGGCCGCTGTTGAGGCCTCCGGAACAGGCATGCAGCAGCAGAAGCCCATGCACTTCCGCATTTTCGATGTTAGCATGTAACCATGTGAAACTTTGTCTTTCATGTTCCATCTGTGGAACTCTGTTTTTCATGTTGCGTCTTGGAATATCTTGAATCTGTCGTACATTTGCCTTTCAGGTTTGCAAGACGTTGTAGCGTGCGAAGTGTCGCTACTGAGCATGAAGGATTTTGCGGCAGTCAACAAGGCAAAGCAGATCTCTGCAGATGAAGTTGTTACGAATGGCAGCTTTCATAACTGGCACAACTCCTGTCATTTCAGTGGGGCTTGACATTTTGGCCTCGAGGCATACGCATTTTTCTGGCCCTCCGAGCCACCAAGCAGAGTTGCGGTTCAAGTTAGAGCGTTGGTGACATGGACCTGTTTCAGTTGGAAGGGCACGGAGCAATCCGAGTTTGCTAATGAGATGATTGTTGTGTTTGCACTACCTCCTTTGAACCTGACAAATCTTTGTCCGCAACACTTTCGGTCCGAACAAAGCTGGCAAGAAGAAGGCCACTGATCATATCAGAATCCAACCGTTGCTCATAGACTACCTGCATGATATTAGGGAATGCATGGAGTGCAGGAGGATATTTGCAAGGTTTCCTTCTTCACCATGTATCATAGAACTCATATCCTTCACTGCAACAGGGCTTGGGTGAAATTTATGTTGCTTCGTAGAATGTGTTCATGCTGCGCTACATTTGCAATAGTTTGTAATGAAATAGTGAGACATATTGAGATATATTGAGACTTGGCTGTCATAATTTGCGCAGTGATGCCATAGAATGCAATGTATGCTGATGTTGTTTCTGGTGTCTTTAATATTTTGTGAGTTCTGGAAAGGCTGCAAAGGATGGCCTGAATGCATGTGGATATTCAGATGCGGATTGCAAAAACACGTGAGAATACACTGAAAGGATTCCAAGGTATGTATTTTGAGCTGTCCACACAAGGCCAGAGGCGCTTCGGTGGAGATTCGCTGTGCTGCTGCGCTGCCTCCAAAGCAATTTTCAGCAGCCGTGCTGCATTTATTCCGGTGTGAGAGTTCAGAGAGGCTAGTCTTTGCATTTATGCTGATGTGTCTCACCATGTTGAGTTCCACCAAGGCAGAAGAGACAACCATCACAATCTGAGGGCTGGCGGACGGAATATTGTGCAAAAATTCCTGCCAAAATCTGTTGATTTGAAACTTGAATAAACTTGATAAACATATACTTTATTAATTACATACAATAAAGCAAGATGAATTTGACGTAAGAATTTATCGGGCAATGTCAACGCAGAATTTCATAAATATTCTATGATATTCTCGTCACCTATTGAGAATTTGTGAATTATATTTTTTGTTTGGAAATATCCCAGCGGCTTTTAGCCGATATTATTACTCGAAATTTAAGAACATATAAATATATATTTATGATATATCGTAATTATAATATAATATTTGACATAATTTATTTTCTAATAAATTTCCAAATTTATATTTATATATATTTGGAAAATTTGAAATTATTATTGTATTTTTTTGAATTTTTGGAATT